GTGGGGGTGGTGGGGAGGGCGAGCTGGTCGAGCTTTCCTCTCAGGTATATTTCAGGCGTTGCATTGAGGAATTGTTTAATATTGCAGGTAGGCAAATGTTAGTCTCCTGGTGTCTACAGTGTCTTAGAGAAATGAATTCCAGATTCTGTGATATAACTAAATCCTAGTGAAATCTGTGCATTCTCGAACTCTGAATTTTTCAGAAGCAGCCTTGTAATTGTGATGCAAATGTGTTGAAAACTTTTGTATTGAACAATTATCAACTTAACCAGCTTTTTAAAGGTTGCAAGCCTTTCCAGGGGAATGTACAGGGCTTTCTTACTGCTCTTGGTAGGAAAACCCTAGATACTGTAGTTAAACAGATTGCAGATCTGCATTGGACATTTTTGGCACAGATTTTCTATGTAGTCTGTTGATATGATGTAAGAAAAATAATCAAGTTTTCATGAGAAAGAGTACATTAAGTGCATAAGCAGACACTCCCAGTATTATTGAATGTAAAATAGCTAAAAAGCAAATATTTGTGAAGTTAGCCTCCTAAGGCATAATTTCTTTTTCCTGGATTTGAAAAGATATGATCAGACTCTTTAATATCAAAGTAGATCAGTTTGGAACAAAGTGGTTGAAATAAAATGTTACTTGCTGCCTGACATCTGGCCTAAAAGAACACTAGTCTTATCTCCTATTTGAGTGACAAAAGATATCTTGATAAAATATAATTTACAAAACACCCCCAGGGGTTTAAAAAGCATTTTGGTAAACTAGGCACAGTATCCTTTCAAAGTTTTAGATCTAAATTTTTTCCATTTCTATTAGCAAATACCATGTCTATTTCAGAACATGAGCACTTATACACCCAGAGGAAAAACCTTACCTGATATATGACAATAATAGTTTCTTTCACAACAGGGAAAGCTAGTTTGTTTTCAAGGTCATTTATTTATTTTCATTCTTTATTAATAAATACACAGACTACAAATAAAATAATTATAAATTTCTATCTACTTTATAGAATGTTTATGGTATTGTTGCCAGAGATATCTTGCCATTCCTTCTAGACAATCAGAGGCCCAAGAAAATTAAGCATGTGAGAATAGTGGATTGAAGTCAAAGTTATTAAAAGTCAGAAAGTTTGGTAATTCTGCAACAACCATGAACCAAATTCTGGGACAAATTATTGGATGATTTTTAATATATCGCAGTGAAACCAAGCTGGTTTTTTTAATACACAATTCTAAATATTGCTGTTTCTCAAGAATTTGTAATTAATTTTATCTGGAGAGTAGTTGAAATTTGGCTAATATCAGTCTCCTGTTACACTGTAATATTACTACTTTCTTTAGTTTTCAAAATATCATGCAGGTAGTATAGAGCATTTTAAAGCTCAAGACCTCTGGGGATTGTATCAATAATTAAAAAAATCTCAGAGTTATGTATGGATCAGTTTTGGAATTAAGTTGATTTCCGCTTCATAAATAATATTACTTAAGCTATCTGTGCCACTGTGGCTGCTTTTATAATTTGCTTTTATGGCTTGTTTTTTTTTTTTTGTCTTTCAACTTGTTGTTTTAATTGCTGAAGGATGGTTTCCTTCATGGTTATCTGTTGTAACCTACAGATCATGGAATCATCTGGTACACCCTCAGTGACCTTAATAGTAGGCAGTGGTCTTTCATGCTTGGCCTTGATCACCCTAGCAGTTGTCTATGCAGCGCTATGGAGGTATGTAATGGATTGACAAAGCTGAATGTGAATACATAGTTATATTTAGTTGAATTAAAATTTAAAGAGACCATTAGATGCAACATTTATTATTTGGAAAAGGAAAAAAAAAAAAAAAAGGCAAAATGTAGTCCATGTTTTGAGTCCTAAATTTGTTGATGGGATGGATTAGTTTTACTCTCTTGGTCTACTGTTGATGGTGTAGCCCACTCTCTTATCTTTCCCTCTTCAGTGTGACAGTTGTTGCTTTTTCAGTGGGTTATTCATAGTGCTAATAAGCATTTTACAGTATTCTTCTGTATGGTATCTTTCATGTGAGGCTTATGGACTATACTCTGGAATGCTTTTTCTCCATTTACATTTGAAAACAAAACATCGATGCAATCAAAATGACATATCAAAGTGCCACATTAGATACTGCAGATTCTTAATTTATCCACTTCTGTTACAAGTTTCAATGAAGACCACAAAATGAAGTTGTCTAAACTAGTGTGGTGGTACGTTCCAGTAACAGACTCTTTCCATCCTGAGCTTATTATATTAAAATATTAGGTTGACTCAAAAGCACAGTAGATATTTACAAAGAAAAATAATTTGAAAAATGATGAGAAATATCATGATGTATTAGTGTAGAAGACACAGAAAAGTAGGAGGAAAATTCACATAAAATAGATTTTAAAAAAAGTGAACATGTGTTCTCATTTAACTTTTTTCTGTAATAAAAGAAAAATAGGTTCTTAAGCAAGTAAGAAGAAACACACAGAGAAAATAACTATTTCTAGAGTAATGTAAAATTAACCAATAGAATTTTGCTTTTAGAAGCAGCTTGATAATTTTACACACTTTTTCACTCTCTTATGCAGCCACAGAGTCTCAGGATTAAACATATATATGATAATATCAAATATCTAGTTGCATAAGTTATAATAAAAAGAGTATAAGAATTGTCAGTTCTTGTCTGTCAAAGCTGAAAATGAGAGTATTTCAGGATATAATTCCCATCTGAAGAATTACAGTGTTATTTTTGCACTCACTGATATATTTAGCACTTGGATGGAAATACTGTCATGTTGAGTTGAATGGGTCTTCTCCATTATTTGGATTAGATATAAGGAAGAATTTTTTTCTAATGAGGTTGGTGAGACACTGAAACAGGTTGCCGAGAAGTTGTGGATGACCATCACTGGAAGTGTTCAAGGCCAGATTGGAAGGGGCTTTGAACGACCTGATCTAGTGGAAGGTGTTGGAACTAGATGATGTATAAAGGTCCCTTCCAACCCGAACCAGTCTATGTTTCTATGACTCTATGATTCTATGATCCTGTGATTATGGTAACTTCCATCTTCCCTTCTTCTACTTTCCTTTTCCTTCCCTTCCCTTTTCTTTTCCTTCCCTTCCCTTCATTAATAGTGGGCCGACAGAAAAACTGAAACTTTCCCAGCTTAAGTCGATGCTATGAGATCCTGCTTGCTCTGTATTTACTCAACCACTAGGATCTCATAGTCCATAGGTACTCAGTGTTGAGAACTGGCCCAGGTGAATCAATAGTTAACAAGTTAGAAAGTAGCAGCACTCATGCTGACTGTGTAGACAAAGACACTGGACGTTCTGTATTTGTTTGCAAACACCTAGAAATAGCCTTAACAGTATTGTTATGTTTTAAGGAAAAATGTGGATTGTGGTATCAGGGTTGTTCTGTCTTCTTAACTGAAAAATGTAAAGCAGTATTACTTAATTGATAGCTACGCAAAAAGGACTGCAATTCATCTTATGTCCAAAGCTCAGCTTTTCTCACGGGTTCAGCACTCTTTGTTATGACCTCCTCAGGGTGTCAGCTATGGGTGTCAGCTCAGGAGGACACAGCAATATTAACTAAGCTCCAATGAGAAGCATATAGCATAGGTCATAGAATATATAAACATACAGCATGATATTTGGAGGAACTGAGCACCCTTAACTTTCATTTGCTTCAGTAGTCAACATTTACCCTGTTAGTAGCTCTGAAAATCAGGTCAGTAAGGTACTTCACCTGAAGCCATAATCATTCTCTTTCTGCCCTGTAGCACATAAAAGGCTGTATATAGAAAAATGAAAGCATTTGTAAGGAAAGAGGTGATAAGAGTATTTGACTTTTTCATTCTAAACACACTTCTAAAATGAGTATGGTAGGTTTGTAAGAGAGGCTGTGTGATGCTCACTGCTATAATTTAATCTTTTTCTACTAACTTAGCTACTTTTTGGCATTAGGTCTTATGAAGACGAAGCTAGTATAGTATTATTGTTTCTTCATACAAATTATTTTGTAAATGTGGTGGAGCTTCAAGATTAGTGTTATCATTATCCCAATAGCATGTTTCAAAATGCACTACCATGGTATCATCAACCAACCTGCATCTTATTTATGCATCGTGGACAAGATCTTCTGTTTATGTAAATCACCATATTTTTGCTGAAGTTAGTTATCGTAAGTGGTCTGTGCCAGCTGTGGATATTCCCAGGGATGAGCAGAGAGCATAAGAAGTTCCTGACATGAATGCATGCAGGCCCGTTATCAGTATGGTGTTAGAACAGTGTTGCCAGAGGTTTTTAAAAGCAGCATTGATAGATTTTTTTTTTTAAATACACCAAAAAGCTAAGAGGGAATTGCAGAATATCTATCAAAATATCATTGTTTCTATGTTTGTAAAGTGATAGCTCCTTGATACGCTTTATAAACACTTGCAAAGAGAATGCTTACCCTTCAGTGTATCTCCAATATTTAATGCGTGAATTGCATCAAAGCTTTGTATGACTTACTAGTTGTTTTCCTTTTAGAAAAGTTGTACCCTCTGTTTATTTAAACAGGTACATCAGATCTGAGAGGTCAATAATTTTAATCAATTTCTGCCTGTCTATTATCTCATCAAATATCCTTATCCTGGTTGGACAAACTCAGACACATAACAAGGTATGATGATGGATTGTATTACGTTTACACTAAAATACTGATATCTTTGTTTTATTTGTGTTTATCTTAAAATAGTTACATCCATTTAATCCTATACTCATAGGACTTGGCATTTTTGGTAAAATATTAACAGACAAGGGAAAATATTTACCATCTTTCGTAGACTTTTTTCCCCCTCCAAAAATTCCTTTTGGTATTGTTCCCTCTAGATAAGCTATGTTCTCTGTGGTAGACTTGTATGTTTTATAACTAAATTTCAAAGCAAAAAAGTTCAAAGACTCAACATCAAAAGCACAAATTCTGGTTCATTATAATAGTTGTAATAGGATTGTGCTACAGTGTTTTTGTCTTTTTATTAACACACTGGTACTCGAAAGGCAAGTAGAAATTGCTTAGAAGTTAGAGTACTACTCTTGAAAATGTGCAAACAGACATCATAACAAGCTATAGAACTGTTAGATCTCTGACTGATGTAGCTATAAGAAAGCAATAACCCTGCATACCTTACTTAGTGATATATTGCTGCTTTATTGCTAATCTGTTCTCAGGCTCCTTCTGAACATAGTCGTCATTTGTCCTTCTCCTGCAGGCCAGAGCTGTGTCAGTGTTTTGAGGCATCACCCAGCGCCTAGTGATGCTAGGCAACTTTCAGAAATGACAATAAGTCATTGCTTAAAATTAACTATAGCTACATGATAGCTGGGAATGCAAAATAGGGTGTAATTGGAGAATAGGGTAGTATGTAATAGAATGCTGTTAAGTTTTGGAGTGAGCAAGTATCTGTAAGGTAATTCTTCATCCCACTGTGTTACACTGCTTAATGCACTGCTCATCTTTAATTTTTCCAGTATCTAATGAAATACGTTCATCACATGTTATAGGATAACTGGTGTTTCTACAACACAGCTATAATTAATCATTTATTCTTTTCAAATGAGTGCTTAGAAATTTAGCTGCCAGAAGTCTCATAAATTCAGTGCAAGTCATGTAGCTGTACTTTGTAAAACATACCCAAAGCAAACATAGCCATTTCCAATGCAGAAGTTAACAAAATTATTAAAATTAAGATATTCATATTCTTTAAAGTTTTGAAAGTGTGTACAGGTACAAATGAACAAAATATGCATTTGCAGAAGTAATGCATGTGACTCACGGATTTTATTCAGAGGAAAAAAAGTCAGAAATTTGCAAGCACCTTCAGAGTGCCAGTGTGCAGACGAAGTATTAAGCCTCTCTAGAATTTCAGCACTAACGTGCATAGTCATATATACTATTTTATTACGTATTTCAAGAAGAAATATGGTTCAGTAGCTGAAAGTTCCTGTGTATATTGCCAGTCTGAAACTGGGGTTTGAGGACATCAGATCAACTGTGTTTGATAAACATGGTCCCTAGGTATGCTGGCAGACTTTCTCTGATGCTTGACTCGGGGAACTCTGAACTAAAACACGCTCTTAATCCAGTTCCTTTCTTTTAATCTTCCTGAGCTCCCTCACTTCTCTTTCCTGAAATCTTGAAAGTACAGAGATATTATATTGACTTACTTCAGAGAGCAGCAGATCCTAAAAACGGAGCTGTTCAGATGAAATAATTTGACAGAAAGTACAACACCTCAAAAAGTTTACATTTTGAATATATGACCTGAAAAATTACTCTAAAATACTACCTTTTACTACAGTTGTCTTCTTTTTGAGTCTACATGTTGCTTTTGAAACATGTACCACCTGGGAGTTTCTAACCAGGGAGTACCTCTAATGGATCAAAGGCAGAATACGTTTTTTATACCAAGGAAGATATTCCTTGTTACAGACCAAAAGTCTTTTTATCACTGTGTCCGTTGATAAGTGAATATATTGTAGCTCCAAGAGCAAAAGCTTACTCAAATTAAAGCAATCAGATCCAGGTATGACTTCAGTATGTTTGTAAGTAGGAATGTGTTTTGGTATCAGATGTGTTTGAATTCAAGTTCAGATTTTTTTCTTTTCAAATATCTTATATGACCAAAAGAAGCCAGTTTTTGATTTTTAGTCCATAAGTCTAGTTTACAATACTGTCAACTGTAGGAAAACTTAGGTTTTCATTTTGCTGTACTGGAAAGTTAAATCTGCAAATGGGAACATTAGAAAGGAAATCGGGTCCTTACTTATGGTTTCAGATGAGAAGCATTGTAGATTTGCTTCTCAGATTTTATTATTTACCAGAAATCAAAACAATTTGGGTTTTTAGTGTTTCAAAGTTTGGGGGGAAATCTTGGGAATATCTTATCAAGACAAGATAATATTCAAGTCGGCAGAAATTGTTTCATGAAAAAAGGCTGAGGTGGTGTTTTATGGCAAGAAGATGAGCTCAGTTTTTCTAATGTGTCGAAGAAAATTTGAGAAACGTGATAGGCCAATTTTGAGAGTTTATTTACTCTTTTTCAATCTCATTCTTATGTCCATACTATTCTCATATTATTGGGGGACCTAGTTATTGTCCATATCATGCTGCTGGTGTTCACAAAGTTGAATGTTCCTTTTTCTATGCTTTGGTTTGTATTTTCTTCTGAGTTCAAATTTTCCCAAGCTCTGTATTTGTGTATATTCTTCTTGAGACTGGGTGCTTTTAAATGTCAACAAGGCTGAATTCCAGTTTAAATCCTGAACAGTGAGTAAATTAAGCATGTCAAAGATGCTTTTATAACAAACAGTACATTGTCAGTTTGTTTGCACTTTGTGGTTTTCTCTTTCTGCATTAAACACTGCAAAAAATACTTTTAATTATTTCATTGCCATTTAATCTCCAGGAACTTTCTGTGGTTTGTTTTAGTAGATCCATTGACAACTGTGACAATGAAAAAAAAATATTGAGTCTCTTGGTCTGGATAAGTGCGGGTTTTCTGCTGTTTTCTTTCTGGTTTATGTAAATCATAGATACTTAGCATATTAGGTTTAGCTCTACTCTAAAGGCTGAGTGTATCTTCAATGTTTTTACAAAAGCTTCTTTGAGTGAAGACTAAGTGATTTTGAATATTGCACTCTTTGATTCAACTAATTTATGCCTTTTTTCACTGAAAAATTTCATGGTATTTCCCACTGGCAGAAATGGGCAAAATATTTACAGTGGGCAAGTAGAAGTAGTTGAAATTCTTTCAAGGTATTATAGCTTTTCCATTTCTAATATTCCCTGTTTAAATGTGAATTTATCTCCAGTTTGAGTAACACAAAGATAGCAACATTAGACCAGAGGTCTAGGTCACAGGGCTTTTCAGCTTGTTTTAGAGTAGTTTGTGATGAGTGGCATGGAGAGGAGTATAGTTTCTCTTGGAAGATTTGGATTGGGATAGCAAAAAAGCCTTTTGTCAACAGAAAATTCCTTTGCTGCTTTATTCCTTCTTAGCCAAACGTGTTGTGCATTTTGTTGAAGGACACAGCTGAGAAATGTTCTGCTTTTTTCAGTGTGTTTCCCCAAGCCTTTCAATATGTGAAACTTTATTCAAAGCCTTCTTAAGGTTTCAAACTGTGTAAGAGATTGCTGTTTTGTCAGTTCCTGTTTCAAAATACAGGTCACTGAAGGCTGAATTTACAAGAATATTATTAAATTAATTATGTATCTTGTTTAAATATGCCCGGTGTTATACTAGATATGAGAAGGATATTAATTTAGTTTGGTATTTCTTTCTGCCTCTTTTCTTTCCAGTGTCAGATGTTAGCCACATAATTGATACACTGGCGATAGCCCTTTAACAGCTGAATTTAGTTGTAACATTGAAAATAAGTCTTGTGAAATAAGGAAGGATAACACTTTTCATGTATAACATAACTGTTAAAACATCTCTTGTTTCACAAATACTGTGGTATGTCCCTAACATCTATAATGGCATTACCTATATACTTTGAAGAGACTGACAGTATCCTTCGATGAAATATCTATCAGTGATGTGTAGGTTTCACTGTAATGTAACTCCTGCTATATTATGTTTCCAAATGTTCTTCTTGACATCAAGAAAAATGGTTGTATTTCTTCTATATGTGGACCTTTAACTGTTAGGCTATATATATCTTTACTATGTTTCTGATCCCATTTAATGAATAGATTCTCTACCCCTGATAAGTAATTGATTAATATTATGTGGATTTTCGCTAAAATCTCCTTCATTTTGCCTACATTCAGAAAACACTTTGTTTTTTTCACAGTTCTGCCTAAATAAAAACACAATAGTTGTTTGATGTAAACAATTCTTGTCCACCCATTTTCCCTGTGAAGAAAACAAAGCTGAACACAATTTAAAATAAACCATAAGATTCATTACGCATATAGGCAAAAGTTAATTATTTCTATAAGTTTTTGAATGTACTTAAGAGTTTGTTGCTGGAGTTTGATCTCTTGTTAGAAACAGGCATATTTTTAGAAGTATCACAAGACACTCTACTTTTAGTTAGCCATAGTCAGGTTTATGTGTGTGTACCAAAGGAGGAACAGGGAAGATGTTAATACACAAGTCAAGATTTAGCAACCCTGATATTCTGTATCATCCCTGTTTAATTACAATATTCAGTTTATTATGCTTACTATTACATTTTGGAATTAATCTCTTAGACCACACCTGAAAGGATATGAAAAAGGCATGTCCTGACTCCCTAAAATACATAAAATAAACAATCAGTAGTTTTGATAAATGCATTGTAAACAAGCAAAAATCCTTTAAATTTTGTTAGATAATAAGATCAGAATACTCACTAAATATGTCAACTGGACAAAAATAGCCCCACTTTAGACTTTTTTTGGTTTTAAATAGAGGTTCTAGGCTGAAAGAAGCAAATAGAAGTGGAAAGGAGTTGAGAAGCCACAGCATCCCATCCCCATAGCATTCTGAAGCAGCTGACAGAGTAATGAGGGCTCCCTCAGGTTTTGAGAAGCGGTGAGTGGCAGGATCCCCTGAGAAGCCAGCAAATGTTCAGGTGGTACTAATGCTGCCTCTAAACAGGTGGCTCTTGCCCCATATCTGCCACTGCTTTACA